ATTTAAATTCTAACTGATGCTTGCTTCAGAATCACATAATTTGTTGGTTTAAGTGAGCTCTATGACTCCGTGTTTAACTCTGGTGTCTCCAGAATATTCGCTAATATTCGACGTATCTAATTTTGAAGGTGTGCGACTGGTGAGAATTGGCAAACAATCATGCTGTCCTGTGTCAAAGGTCGACTGTGTGACCCCCGTTCCAGTAAGTCGGGCTATGAATGTGGAAGTAATATTGCGTACATTTATTTCGTCAGTTTCATCTTTCTCTGCTCCTTTTTGGTGAGTAAGCGATTTTTTTTTATTTCAGTGTCTTTTCACTGTTAAGCAAAATTTCATATTGTGGTCTCTTTTGATGAGAGAGCAAAGCATTGTGGCTAGTATTATAATAGTATGTAATTATAAACTAAATAACATCCTGATAAAAGTTTCAACACAAAAACCGAAACTTCATGGACGACATTAAAGTCTCCGTACTAAGACCCCCACGAGGTCAAATAACGTTCTGATGAAGGTTCCAACACAGGAACCAAAACTTCATGGACGACATTAAGGTCTCCGTGCTAAGACCCCCACGAGGTCAAATAACGTTCTGATGAGAACGTTATTTGACCTCGTGGGGGTCTTAGAACGGAGACCTTAATGTCGTCCATGCCGTTTTGGTACCTGTGTTGGAACCTTGATGAAGGTTTCAACACAGAAATGTAAAAACTTCTCGTTGCTAATAAATGTCATAAAATTAGGCCTAGCGTTTAGACAAATTAAAACAAATTAATCGAGTTCTAAAAATTTATCACTTACCTATTCAGAGTTCCATACATGTTTTGTTTTTTGTTCGTTTATTCAATTTGATTTCGAAAATTTTTATTCATTATAATTTAAATTTCGCATCTTACGAAACGAATAAGTAAATGTAAATATATATATATATATATTTCATAACTGTTTTATTCCGTGTTTGAAATGATTCTATAACTTCACCAGTTCTTGTCTAACCAGTTTAAAGACTCGGTTTTTAACACTAGCATTAAAAGACTTTTATTGACTTTTACAGATGCTTAACCTGTTTGTTGCTGTTATTATGGACAATTTTGATTATCTTACTCGAGATTCATCAATTTTGGGTGCCCACCATCTTGATGAATTCATACGTGTTTGGGCTGAATACGATCCTAGTGCCAGGTAGGGTTTTTTTTTGTTTTTTTTTAGCTTACTCGTCACTATTTTGCTGGTCACATTTCTTGTTATTTGTGTAAAGATTTTGTTTCTGTTTCTTTATGAAATTAGACTTGAAATACAGCGGACAAAATAAACGCAAGGACGACCCACGTTCTTTCAGATGACAAATAAGACCAGAAAAATATCCATCTCGTTAATTCAAGCTTTTGTGTTGATTGCTTAGGAAATGTAAAAGTAACGATTTTGTTGTCTTCATTTTATTAAAAGTGACCAACTATGAAAGTAACTGTCTCTGAGTTTTGAAGTATTACGTCACAAAAAACCATGTAGAGTTCATGCCGACAGTCTTGAATTATTATCTTTATACAACAGATTATTAAGTAAGTCTTTTACTTATCTTGATACTGGAGACAGTAAATTATTAAATTATAAATTATTAAAAAAAAACGGTTTCTTTCAACAATTGCATTTCAACACGTGTCATTTTAACTTGAATTATATGTATGGTGTTTTAGCAGTCACCATAGTGACCAATTCTGCATATAATACCAAACCCAGCTTTTCCTGTCGTGAGGGAAAGTCAAATATTTTGTTTTTCTGAACTTTCGTGTCTTTATTTTTCAGCGGCTACATTCATTACACAGAAGTGTACGACATGTTGCGAAACATGGAACCACCGCTAGGATTCGGGAATAAGTGTCCGTATAAGTTAGCATACAAGGTGAGCTAACCCAAAGCAGAGTATTAAGTTAACATACAAGGTGAGCTAACCCAAAGCAGAGTATTAAGTTAACATACAAGGTGAGCTAACCCTAAACAGAGTATTAAGTTAACATACAAGGTGTGTTAACCCTAAGCAGAGTATTAAGTTAACATACAAGGTGAGCTAACCCTAAGCAGAGTATTAAATTAGCATACAAGCTGAGTTAACCTTAAGCAGAGTATTAAGTTAGCATACAATCTGAGTTAACCCTAAGCAGAGTATTAAGCTAGCATACAAGGTGAGTTAACCCTAAGCAGAGTATTAAGTTAACATACAAGGTGAGCTAACCCTAAGTAGAGTATTAAGTTAGAATACAAGCTGAGTTAACCCTAAGCAGAGTATTAAGTTAACATACAAGATGAGCTAACCCTAAGAAGAGTGTTAAGTTAACATACAAGGTGAGCTAACCCTAAGCAGGGTATTAAGTTAACATACAAGGTGAGTTAACCCTAAGTAGAGTATTACGTTAACATACAAGCTTAATGGGCTTAGTGATCAGGGACACTCGACTCGCAACCTGCGGGTCGCAAGTTCGAATCCCGTTACTGAACATGGTTGCCCTTTCAGCCGTGGGGTCATTATAAAATTACAGTCAATCCCACTTTCCGTAGGTAAAGAGTAGCCCAAGAGTTGGCGATGAGTAATGTTGACTAGCTGCCTTCCCTCTAGTCTGCCATTTCTAAATTAGGAGCAACTGTCACAAATAGCCCTCTTGTAGCTTTGCCTGAAATTAAACATACGACTGATGGTGCTTTTAATAATTCCATTCTGGTAACATTATGATTCACCATTTTGAGTGAAATTTGCATATAATATCTTTGTTTGATTTAAATTTTACATTTATTGTTAGTTACAATCTGTCCTTGTTCTTGTTGTGAGGGTCGAGCTGGCTAACTGGTTGTGAAGGTCGAAGCTGGCTAACCGATTGTGAAAGTCAGAACTGGCTAACTGGTTATGAAGGCGAAGCTGGCTAACTGGTTGTGAAGGTCGGAGTTGGCTAACTGGTTGTGAAGGTCGGAGTTGGCTAACTGGTTGTGAAGGTCGAAGCTGGCTAACTGGTTGTGAAGGTCGAAGCTGGCTAACCGGTTGTGAAAGTCAGAGCTGGCTAACTGGTTGTGAGGGTCGGAGCTGGCTAACTGGTTAGTGTGTCAGACTATGTATCCGAAGATCCATGGTTCGCGTCCTGTTGCCACAAAAATATATTTTGCTCCGCACTTTGGGGTTCATGTTTCCATAATATTTTTTCAGAGTTAATTAGCTGCCTTCTCTTCATTCTATTAGCTCAAAATCAATTAGGAACGGCTCGCTTAAATAGTTCTTGTTTAATTTCGCGAGAATATTCGAACAAGCCAAACCAAATTCTTAATGTTTCGAAATATAATGTAAGCATATCCGTGTGCCTATGTTCTTGAATAATAGCAGCATTTATAGGCATTATTTCACGAATCATTGTTTTGTCATAGAATTTTACGAGCACTAATGCTATAGATAAGGGAAAGAAAACGAGGTCACCGAAGTCGTAGTTTACGAACTGTAAAATAGCCTGCTGAAATGAAACAACAACAAAAAAATAACGTACACTGAGATTGTTTTAAATTGAAATCAACAAAAAAATTACTACGGTAACATCACAGACAAAAACAAAACAGATACCATTGATCAACGAAGTAGAAAAGGTGTGATTTTAAATGTAAAATATTTGCTTTAGTAACTCTTAAGAATTTTCAAGAATCTCATCCGGACAATCATATATTACAATAAATATGCATTAAGGTGAAAATAATATCCGCCATCTTCTCAGTTACGTAATAAGCTACTCTCGTCAACAGCAAACTATACGAAACGATCTTGAATGGTGGTATTCGAATGTTTAACAATATCGAAAAAACGTGCTCAATATAAATTTATTTTATGGGACTTATATCGTGATAATTATCGGGATGTTAAGGCCTTAAGTTTCCGTAACAAACTCAAATCTGGAATTCTTGGCTCGTGACAATGTGAAATAATTGGTTAGATATTTTAAATATCTACCGTGAAGTAAAATTTCGTCTGAGCAGTGCAACGCTTAATGATTAGCATGTTATGCTGCGGATCGAAGGTTCGAACACGCTTCTCATTTTCAGCTGAAAGCATGTTATACAAACCAACATACAACCTTTTTTATTCAGTTCAAAGAGCCGGACAAAACCCCTATATGTCGGCGGATGCTGCCCTATAGCTACCTTCCCTCTGGTTATTTGTTGAAAATTAGAGACGGTTATACCTTAACTATGAAGGTGATGAATAGAGGTCTCTGGCTTTGTTTTTATTCTGCATACGTATGGGGTGCCGTTCAGGTTGAAAATTCCAGTCCTTGAACTTGGTCTTGAAAACTTGGACACTGTTTCTGTATTTTTTTATTACACTCC